GAACTTTACTTTGAAAATTGCACCAAATTATTCTTTTGAAAACGATTCAGAGAAATTTTTCCAATTTTCTTCACTTGTAGTTTTCTGTTCTGAGGAATCTTACATCTTATATATTTTTATATATATTATAATTTTTATAATATTTATTTTTATATATATTATAATTTTCGCTGTTACCATGAACTTTACTTTGAAAATTGCACCAAATTATTCTTTGAAAACGATTCAGAGAAATTTTCCAATTTTCTTCACTTGTAGTTTTTCTGTTCTGAGGAACATCTTACATAATTTTATATATATTATAATTTTATATATATTATAATTTTATATATATTATAATTTTCGCTGTTACCATGAACTTTACTTTGAAAAAACGATTGCAAATTTTCCAAATTATTCTTTGAAAACGATTCAGAGAAATTTTCAATTTTTTTCACTTGTAGTTTTCTGTTCTGAGGAACATCTTACATAATTTTATATATATTATAATTTTATATATATTATAATTTTATATATATTATAATTTTCGCTGTTACCATGAACTTTACTTTGAAAATTGCACCAAATTATTCTTTGAAAACGATTCAGAGAAATTTTCCAATTTTCTTCACTTGTAGTTTTCTGTTCTGAGGAACATCTTACATAATTTTATATATATTATAATTTTTTTTATATATATTATAATTTTATATATATTATAATTTTCGCTGTTACCATGAACTTTTACTTTGAAAATTGCACAAAATTTTTTGAAAACGATTCAGAGAAATTTTCCAAATTTCTTCACTTGTAGTTTTCTGTTCTGAGGAACATCTTACATAATTTTATATATATTATAATTTTATATATATTATAATTTTATATATATTATAATTTTCGCTGTTACCATGAACTTTACTTTGAAAATTGCACCAAATTATTCTTTGAAAACGATTCAGAGAAATTTTCCAATTTTCTTCACTTGTAGTTTTCTGTTCTGAGGAACATCTTACATAATTTTATATATATTATAATTTTATATATATTATAATTTTATATATATTATAATTTTCGCTGTTACCATGAACTTTACTTTGAAAATTGCACCAAATTATTCTTTGAAAACGATTCAGAGAAATTTTCCAATTTTCTTCACTTGTAGTTTTCTGTTCTGAGGAACATCTTACATAATTTTATATATATTATAATTTTATATATATTATAATTTTATATATATTATAATTTTCGCTGTTACCATGAACTTTACTTTGAAAATTGCACCAAATTATTCTTTGAAAACGATTCAGAGAAATTTTCCAATTTTCTTCACTTGTAGTTTTCTGTTCTGAGGAACATCTTACATAATTTTATATATATTATAATTTTATATATATTATAATTTTATATATATTATAATTTTCGCTGTTACCATGAACTTTACTTTGAAAATTGCACCAAATTATTCTTTTGAAAACGATTCAGAGAAATTTTCCAATTTTCTTCACTTGTAGTTTTCTGTTCTGAGGAACATCTTACATAATTTTATATATTTATAATTTTATATATATTATAATTTTATATATATTATAATTTTCGCTGTTACCATGAACTTTATTTGAAAATTTTATTCTTTTGAAAACGATTCAGAGAAATTTTCCAATTTTCTTCACTTGTAGTTTTTCTGTTCTGAGGAACATCTTAAAATTTTATTATTTATAATTTTATATATATTATAATTTTAATATATTATAATTTTCGACCATGAACTTTAGAAAATTGCAAAAATTATTCTTTGAAAACGATTTTCTTCAATTTTCTTCACTTGTTTTTTTCTGTTCTGAGGAACATCTTACATAATTTTATATATATTATAATTTTATATATATTATAATTTTATATATATTATAATTTTCGCTGTTACCATGAACTTTACTTTGAAAATTGCACCAAATTATTCTTTGAAAACGATTCAGAGAAATTTTCCAATTTTCTTCACTTGTTGTTTTCTGTTCTGAGGAACATCTTACATAATTTTATATATATTATAATTTTATATATATTATAATTTTATATATATTATAATTTTCGCTGTTACCATGAACTTTACTTTGAAAATTGCACCAAATTATTCTTTGAAAACTATTCAGAGAAATTTTCCAATTTTCTTCACTTGTAGTTTTCTGTTCTGAGGAACATCTTACATAATTTTATATATATTATAATTTTATATATATTATAATTTTATATATATTATAATTTTCGCTGTTACCATGAACTTTACTTTGAAAATTGCACCAAATTATTCTTTGAAAACGATTCAGAGAAATTTTCCAATTTTTTTCTTCACTTGTATTTTTCTGTTCTGAGGAACATCTTACATAATTTTATATATATTATAATTTTATATATATTATAATTTTATATATATTATAATTTTCGCTGTTACCATGAACTTTACTTTGAAAATTGCACCAAATTATTCTTTGAAAACGATTCAGAGAAATTTTCCAATTTTCTTCACTTGTAGTTTTCTGTTCTGAGGAACATCTTACATAATTTTATATATATTATAATTTTATATATATTATAATTTTATATATATTATAATTTTCGCTGTTACCATGAACTTTTACTTTGAAAATTGCACCAAATTATTCTTTGAAAACGATTCAGAGAAATTTTTCAATTTTCTTCACTTGTAGTTTTCTGTTCTGAGGAACATCTTACATAATTTTATATATATTATAATTTTATATATATTATAATTTTATATATATTATAATTTTCGCTGTTACCATGAACTTTACTTTGAAAATTGCACCAAATTATTCTTTGAAAACGATTCAGAGAAATTTTCCAATTTTCTTCACTTGTAGTTTTCTGTTCTGAGGAACATCTTACATAATTTTATATATATTATAATTTTATATATATTATAATTTTATATATATTATAATTTTCGCTGTTACCATGAACTTTACTTTGAAAATTGCACCAAATTATTCTTTGAAAAACGATTCAGAGAAATTTTCCAATTTTCTTCACTTGTAGTTTTCTGTTCTGAGGAACATCTTACATCTTAATTTTATATAATTTTATATATATTTTTCGCTGTAATTTTTAAATTGTAAAAAATTTTCATGTTACCATGAACTTTTGAAATTGCTTATTCTTTGAAAACGATTCATTGAATATTTCCAATTTTGCCATTGATTTTCATTTGGGAACATCTTAATGCATTTTATATATTATAATTTTTAAATTGTAAAAGACATTTTAATTTTCATTGAATATTTGCATACATGCCATTGATGATCATTTGGCAAAATTTTTTATTTATGTTTTTTTTTGTATGTTAAGAATAAAATTTTCGTATGTTTTTTTTAAACTCGGTTCGTGTCGTCTCTATTTGCTCTCTGCCCATGCCAGTAATTTATTGTTGATTGCATTTCTATCGCTGTTTTTGTCCAGTGCGAATGCTTTGGGTTATTGTAACCATGTTTCTTACTTGTCTTAATATCCTTTCTTTACGTACATAGTCAATAACCTATTTATAAACCCCGCAATAGGTGTCGTGACACTTGGTCAGAATATCGTTTGATGCAATGCTGTGTTGATTCCCATGTCCACACAGTCTTCTACAAACTCGCTCTATGGCTATAAACATTCTTATCCCACGAATATAAAGAATTTTTAAAAATAATATATCTATATATCTATCTCTGTATCAATTTATGTCTCTCTCTCTCTCTCTCTGTATATATATATATATTACTTGAAATTTGATTATAATTGATAAATTGTATTTGAAATAGAAGTCCCGTTTTTATTTATTAATGTAAAGTGCCCATTATGATAACGCTTGAAGTCGGATTAAAAATACGTCAATATATATATATATATATATATATATATATATATATATATATATATATATATATATATACGATGCAATGAGAAAGAAAGTAATATATAAATTCTAACATTCACAGCATCAATCCAAAGGAGGGCTCGATACCGATAGTAGAGCGATAATTATTTATTATAATTTTATCATATAGACAAAAACAGTTTACTCACTACAAAGATGCAACTTCGTTTCGGTGCATTTCAACTGCACCTTGACGGGTGAGAACCGAAAATGGTTGTGAACAAATCTGCTTGTAAGCAGGCTGTACGTGAAAAGTCACTTCCTTTTTTACTATTTGTTTGAGAAGAAAAATACACATAAAGCAAAAAGGTGACGGAATGAAACAATATGCTTGTTAATAGCAGTTTGGTGAAGGATGGATGGGGTTTTAAATGCTGGCTAGTCTGGGAAGATTCCTTGCCGATAAACGACAGGTCAAAAGTTTAGGCACATCATCTCGGAAGCGTCCTAAGAGTGACGGGTAGGGGTGGAAACGTGGAGTAGGTAGGAGGGTTAAATTCTAGGGATAGTTATAGTAGTAATTGAGAATGCTTTTTTGGTTTACTATAAAATAACAAGCTAAAGCTGAATTGCATACATTTATGTTGGAGTTATCACTACTAATTCTGTAATCAATAAAAGTGTTTTGTAAATTAATAAATTTAGAAGTGGTGATCTCTTCTTTGTATGTTGCTTATATAAGTTATTCTTTTTATACATATATTAATTGGGGGGGGGTCAATTCTCTATAATAATTTAGATATAAACTGATCCTTCACAAATTAAATCTAAAAGAGGACTGTGTAGCTAATCAGTATTTAATTGATTCAATTATTGATTGATTCGTTTTCTACGGCTTATCAACCCTTTTGTAGGTTATTTAAAGCCAGAAATTATTTTTAGATTGTAAGAATATTTTTGAGATAATAATGGTTTTAGTGATACAAGTATTACTAATTTACCCATACCTGTGGGGTGAAGCAGTGGATTCATTCCTTTCTAAAGAGTATTTGCCCATAAGTGAATATAACGAACCCAACGGGAATTGGAACTCAGTTTTCCGATTGACACTTCCGAACCATTAGCCATTACACCGTCCACAGATCCCAGATTACTGCACGTGATATTCCGAAGCGGTTACCCATTTAAGTACTAACCAGGCTTAATAGTGATTAATTTCGGTAATCGTACGGGAGCTGTTGTTTCAACGTGATCTGGCCGTAAACACTATTCAGTCATGATGAATGGCTCTACTCCCAATATAACTATTGTCTGGAACAGCTGCCGGGATTCGAACTCATATATATATATATATATATATATATATATATATATATATATATATATATATATATATTACGTTTATGTTTTTACAGAAAAAACAAAAGTTTCAGCGAACACAGTGACACTTTTAGATAGACGAAGACGAAGTTTAAAGTAAGAACGAATTATACTTGCATATAGTCTCCACCATTTGTAATGCACTTTCGGCAACGATGGAAAAGGAACCTGCATTATGCTCTTGTAAACTCTGCACCTTTTCAAAGGTGTCACTACAGCCTAAACACATTAACTACCGCTTTACCTATGCACATATTCAATGCCAGTCTTTATTACCGCATTCAAACTGGCTTTTCTACAAACTCTGTGGACGCTTATTCGATAAATATAATAAATTTAAAAAATATATATATATAAAGGGACCGATTTTAAATGTGAATTAATTTTAAGTGTCTAATGTTTTTGTTTTCTTTTTCATTCAGATTTAACAACTTAAGTCTTTGGCAATTTCAACCATAGAAAGATTAACAGTCAAACTACTTGTTAAAGTTATCAAAGCCTATTACGAAAATGGACGTTCAAACAGAAAGGCATTTCACGCACTGCGCGATTTTTTTGTTCAACATAATCCAGCAACCAAGAGTGCAATTGAAAACAATGCAATGTTGTGGAGAGGGTCGATTCTTACGTGCGATGACGAATAGAGGGATATTCGGCCACATTCTCGTGCACTGCCGCAATGTTTTCAGCTGAACGGCGTAAACGAGCAGGCAACGTATTTTTTTTCATATCTGCCACAGACCCAGTTTGTTTGAATTTACGATCAATTTTTGCAATTGCATTCTTGAAACTTTAACATGTTGTTTGTTAATCTTTCCATGGTTGAAATAGCGAAGTGTTTTATATGAAAGTGTTGTGGATTCCGAGATGAAATCCGGTACCAATAAATAACAAACGCCAAGAAAGAAAAATAGGAAAATAAATGTATTAATGTAATAATACAAACTGGTAATGCAGGTTAGTAGTTCCAGGAATGTGGGTTAGTAGATATATATATATATATATATATATATATATATATATATAGTCTTTGGTATCGACGTATCACGCTGTGACTCTTGCTCGTTACGTTCCTTCTGGTTCGTGCTCGTTCGTCGCTCTCGGGTATTCACTATCAGTTGTATATGTATACCCTGGGTGAGTTCATTTGTGTAAAAAGGGGAGAACCTCTCAACAGAAAGTAAAAGAAAAAAATCATTAGACACTTAAAATTATTTCGCATTTAATATAGGTCCAATTTATTGGAACATCCTTTATTTGTTGTCTGAATTCCTTGGATGAGGAATAATCATTATTTACAATATTTACATTTGGACTATTGTTCATATCTTTATTGGGGTTGTTGATATATCTCATATCCACTGAGTTCAAGTACTAACTGCTCAACCCAGGGTTTGTACTCTTAACCACCATGTCACCTACGCTTCAATCCACTCGGACATATCTTTGGGCAGTCGAATGAGTCCAGTCTACCGCAGTAGATTAAATAAAGGTTTCTGTCCATAATTAGATGTAGATTTCCTGGATCGACAAACACTTGATTATGGCCGGAGAGCTCTACGGCCTAAACAAAAAGATTACAACAATAGTCTATATATAAATAGTGCATATATATCGGGACACAATCGTTAGTCGTTGTTTTTTTTTAAATGCTTTCTTATTACAATCCCAATCTCTTCTCTCCACGATTGGTTCTTTTGTGGATTTCATGGCTGGCAAAGTGATTAATCCTTTGACAATGAAGAAAAATCTTCATAAGAAGTTGATATACTGGCGCTACATAATCACGATCAAAGAATTTTACCAAAAAGAATAAAAATATCATTTGAAGAATTCCAACAGCAGTAACAACTAAAATTGACAGCACTTGTAATTATAAGGGAAAGTCAAGACATAATCAATATATTGTCTTTCCACACTATCCGAAACAAAATGTTAGGAGGAAAACTCACATTTATATTAGAAAGTGGGATAACAATTAAAATGCTTTTAATAAGTAGACTTTTTTATAAATTAACGGCCGGCAGTACCGCTGTTGGGTTTATTTTTTAGAAAATGTTGTTTATTTTATTGATTCTTTTTCTATGATTTCTCGACCCTATGCAGGTTATACAAGAGCAGTAAATATTTTAGATTCTAAGAATGTTTGGGAGGGAGTTAATAATGACTAAGTGATAAAAATCTTACTAATAAGCCTATAGAGGGCGAGGGAAGAGATGGATTCATAGCCTTTCCCAAAGGAATATGCGCGTATGTGAATACAATGAACCCAACTGGAACTGGAACTGGGCATTCTCATTTCCAATTGCAAGCGTTATCCATTACCCTACCTGAACATCCAAGTTTACAGCTCCTAGTATTCCCAAGTCATCGTCCATCTAGGTAGTGAGGAGGCTCGAGGTTGCTTAACTTCGGTAACTTCGGGAACCTGTATTTCAACGTGATACAGCCGTAAACCTACTGCTAAATGCATCCCGTTTGAAAACATTTGGTTTTAACATTACCATTAGCATTGGTCAACAAGCATTTTGAAATCTACTTTTAAACCTATAGTGTATTTGTTTATATATATGGAAACTGTGTTTCGGATTATTTTCCCATCGAGGCAAATCAAAACGTGAAGCAAGTTTTTTTTTTTTATCTTTTCAGTTTCTGACATTTGATCTTCACGCACAGAAGTAAAACTTGCCACAAGCCATATAAATACATGATTGAAATGAGTGGTCTGAAAAGAGAGATCATCTCCTTTCTTCTGACAAATTATTTCGTGTTTGAAAACATAATTAGGCTTGGAAAATCTGATACTCACGGGTCAGATCGAGGACAAGAGGGAGAAAAGAAAGAAAAACGCACAATATACAGAGTAAATGGATGGCGGAATAAGTTTTAGGAAAAATAACAGAATGATAAAGTTTATTAAGAGCTACAATGTACCTGAATTTATGGAAAGCCATCATTGTCTACGTCCAGATGAAACACGGCATATAAAGGAGAAATTCTTCTCTTAATGTGCATCTAAATTTAATAAATTTGGGTAGCATCGCTTTTATGCTTAGGAATACATCTAGAACCTGTGACGATCCTAAAATATTTTACAAAAATTAAATTCAAAATGTCATCAAACAGTATTAAAATGTTATGATGCCTTAGAAATAAGAACAGAAGAAGCAATAAAAATGGATGCTGATCGCAAGATGATCGTCAGATATATCAATAGTTCTTGGAGCACTTCGACGTAGTGTAAAAGGTTGTCTCGCTAGATCATCTACCATATGTTTGATGAGTTAAATCCTCATTGGCTTTTAATCACTTTCAGTTTTTTGCTACATCTAAGCTAGGTTTAGAAAATCACTCTTGTCTTGCAAGATCAATTATAACTGAATAGTCCGTTCAATCATCACAAGCTGTTCCGGACATTCGGTCTTGTGTCACACCCACGATACACTTAGAAAATCACTATACCTGGAACTTCAATGTGGTGTAAGCTTGTCTCGCTAGATCAGTTATGATTGAATAGTGAGTTCGATCCTCACTGGATGTCCCATATTTTTCGGATAGTGCCATATCTAAGTTACTTTCAGAAAATCAACATACCTGGATTGCCCTGGGGTCTTCAACGGGGTGTAATGGTCAGCAAGCTTGTCTCGCTAGATTGATTGTGAATGAACAGTGTGTCCCATACTTTCGGCATTGTGAAACAGTGAAGCTACGCTTACGCAGCCTTATAAGGGATGAATAATTTTGTTCCGCACAAACGCAATTTCGCAAGCCGATAGCTACTCTATAACTATTTCCATAGTAAATGCGCAGACGAACTTCATTCTTAGAGTGTCACCAGCTCAGACCGAAACCAGCATTGCGACGTTCACAGAGTAGTGTCGCCAATCGTATTTCTATAGTATGAAGGGTATTCACCAGGAAAGATTCTTTCCAAAAATCATTATTTTTTGGAATCGTTACTTTGTGAACGCTTCCCCAACACCAACAGGTTTACAGCGACAGCACGTTAAAACACCGGTACCCGTAGGATTACTGAATTTAAGCAACGTCTAACCTGGTCAATACCTAGATGAGTGACCACTTGAGAATGCCAAGTGCTGTAAACTTGTATATGCGGGTGACGTAATGAATAACCGAATTGGTAATAGGAGTGATTATATCAATTCTAGGCGGGTTCATTATATTCATTTACGCGTAAATACCCTTGAGAAAGGCATGGATTCATCTCTTTACCCCCACCTATGGGTAATGGGTAAGATTTGTATAAGTAAAAGATTATTATCACCAAAACTTATTTACGATCTCAAACTATTTTCTGGTTTTAAATAACCTGAAACAGGTGGATAAGCCGTAAAAAAGCCAATCAATCAATCAAAATTCCAACTATTGCAATTTTAACCTCTTCTACTCTCGAGTCGACTGTTATCGATCAGCTATATCCTGGTAATCTTCATTGACACTTCCCTCTGTTTTGTATATATCACACTAATTCTCCCGTAAGACCTGAAGTGGAGTTTGGTCCTTGCATTTGGCGAACTATTCATTTGAAGAACTTCTCGGCATAACCAATAAAAAGATCATCAAGCGTTCACTTAATTTCTCTGTGAATTTCTCGGATGAGGAGTTATCATTATTTACTACTATTTATATTTGGACTATTATTGTGTTATAACAACGTTTCGACGGTTGTGCCGTCCGGTCTTTATCAGGTCTATAGTCATCAGCCGCTGTGCACTGAAGTAGAAATACAAGAAAAGGATGAACACTGGAGAGTTCGACGTCTCAAGAATCGGCACATATGCTTTGGGCATGGGGATCTCCTTAGTTGGCCTAGCATAGAAATAAATATATAATGAGAGCCGCTAACAAAGAAAGAAAGACAA